ACCACCACCACCACCACCACCACCACCACCACCACCACCACCACCACGACCACCATGAACAACAGCAACAACGACCACCACAACAACAACAACAACAACCACAACAACGACGACGACCAACAACGACGACCAACAACGATCAACAAACAACATGCGAAATTCGACGACAACAACAACACCACCACCACCAACAACGACAACAACAACAACAGCAACAACAACCGCGACAGCGACAGGAACTTGGCAGCAACGTTGCGTCAGTGTGGCTGAATGAAACTGGTGTCCAAGCAAATGGAAAAGAAGCAGCGCTTCAGCATGGTTGCCAAAGCAGGAAGTGGGAAAATCTTTTTGATCCCCAGAGTCACAACACCTAAGTCCTGCCACACACGGACATGACGAGCCTCTTCGCGCACCGGCTCATCCTGACAAGGCAGAATGAGCAACGCAGGACAAGCAACAAAGAAGGACAGGCGGCAAAGAAGAACCGCCGCAGCAGCAGCAGCAGCACCACCAGCAGCAGCAACAGCAGCAGCCGCATCCAGCAACAGCAACAGCAACAGAAGCAACAGCAACAACAACAACAACGACAACAACAACAGAAACAACCGCGACAGCGACAGGAACAGCGGCCGCAAGAACAGCGGGAACAGCAACAGCCAGCACAGCAGTAAAGGACTGGCTGCATGGCACGCGATCATTTGATACATTCGCCACACGGTCATGAAGGGGCTGTTGCGCGGGTACCTTGGAAGACGGCCAGGCCACTTCCATACGCCTCTCCTGCCAGTGTGAGTAGCAAAACATCGACTCTGAAGACAAACATGCAACTGAATGGAGTGGAGGAGTCTAGAGCAAGCTTTTGGCGCACGAGCCTCGTCGCGCACCGGCTCATCCTGACAAGGCAGAATGAGCAACGCAGGACAGGCGACAAAGAAGGACAGGCGGCAAAGAAGAACCGCCGCAGCAGCAGCAGCACCACCAGCAGCAGCAACAGCAGCAGCCGCATCCAGCAACAGCAACAGCAACAGCAACAGAAGCAACAGCAACAACAACAACAACAACAGAAACAACCGCGACAGCGACAGGAACAGCGGCCGCAAGAACAGCGGGAACAGCAACAGCCAGCACAGCAGTAAGCACGGACAAGAGCGAAACTACGTGCTGCAGAACCAAACAGTACTGCTGCAGCTGGGGACCAAACGACAGCGAAGCGGAGGAATCCAACCTGGTAGGCTCAGATTTAGCAGCGCAAAGCTAAGCAAGCAGAAGCAGCTGCAATTAAGCTACAGGCTGGTGTTTTCACTGTAAGGGCCCTAAGGGCACAGTGCTGGCGCAAATTAATAGTCTTTGGCGGTCCAGCACCAGTTGGCCTGGTACAAGGTTACATGCCAAATTGTAACGGCATGGTAGGAGCGATACACTACATGATAGATAAGTTTGTACCACCTGCCTCGTCTTCTTCGCTGAGGTTCTCCCAGCGCGTCATGGC